GCCTTGTTGTTAGCCAAGCTTTCTAAGGCCCACTTGACTTCACTCTCCAGGATGTCTGGCTCAAGGTCAGCAACCACACTATCTGGGTTGTCTAGGACATCCACATCTTCCTGGTATAATTCCACTGTGTATTCTTGCCACCTCTTCTTGATGTCTTCTGCTTCTGTAAGGTCCCTACCATTTTTGTCCTTTATCATGTCCATCTTTGCACTTTAATATCTCCAATTTTCTTGAACAGATCAATGGTTTTTCCCTTTCAATTATTTTTCTCTGTTTCTTTGCACTGGTTGTTTAAGAAGGCCTTCATGTCTCTCCTTGTTATTCTCTGGAAGTCCACATTCAGTTTTCTGTAACTTTCCCTATCTCCATTGCATTTTGTTTCCCTTCTCTTCTCTGCTTTTTGTAAGGCCTCATTGGACAGCCACTTTGCTTTCTTGCATTTCCTTTTCTTTGGGATGGTTTTTGTTGCTGCCTCCTGGACAATGTTACGAGCCTCTATCCAAAGTTCTTCAGGCACTCTGTCCACCAAATTTAGTTCCTTAAATCAGTCCTTCACTTCCAGTGTGTATTCATAAGGGATTTGATTTAGATTAAACCTGACTAGGCCAGTAGTTTTTCCTACTTTCTTCAGTTTAAGCTTGAATTTTGCTATAAGAAGCTGATGATCAGAGCCACAGTCAGCACCAGATCTTGTTTTCGCTGACTGTATAGAGCTTCTCCATCTTTGTCTGCAGAGAATATAATCAATCTGATTTAGGTATTGCCCATCTGGTGATGTCCATGTGTAGAGTCACGTGTTGTTGGAAAAGAGTGTTTGTGATGACTAGCTTGTTCTCTTGACAAAACTCTATTAGCCTTTGCCCTGCTATGTTTTAAACTCCAAGGCCAAACATACCTGTTGTTTCTTTCATCTCCTGACTTCCTGCTTTAGCATTCCAGTCCCCTATAATGAGAAGAACATCTTTCTTTGGTGTCAGTTCTAGAAGGTGTTGTAATTCTTCATCGAAGTGGTCAGTTTCAGTCTCTTCAGCATCGGTGGTTGGTGCATAAACGTGGATTACTGTGACGATGAAAGGTCTGCTTTGGATTCGTATTGAAATCATTCTATCCTTGTCTTATACCTGGAGGAAATGGAAAACTGAGAAGAGGGGTATGAAATATAGTATCCAGAAGTTATCATGGCTGTTTAGCTGGTTAGAACCCTGAAAAGGAGCAATGTTCCATACTGGAACTTTTCTGTGAGAGGAAAGTAACCCTTGTTAATATGTTTGCTAAAAAGTGCATTAGTATTGTGGCCTTTAGTTAATAGTCACTCACATTTTTTCCTGTTCAGATTCTGATTTAAAGAGTAATGATGGATTTTATTTTTTACATTTGAGGCATATATTTTTACATCTATTAGACTTTGAAATCTAACAGTCACTTTGAGCTTGTAAGATCCACAGTGTATGCTTCATGATGGACAAAGTTTTTCATTATTATTTCACCAGAACTCTTGTAGGGATCCTTAGATACTTCCTAGTCATTTAAGACTAAGCAGCCTTCATATATGTGTGTGTGTGTGTGTGTGTGTGTGTGTGTGTGTGTGTGTGCGCGCGCGCGCGCGCGAAATCATTCATTCGTTCATTTTTAAAATCTGTCTTTCTA